GTTCTGGATGGTTCTGGTTGGGATCTGTGTGGTTCTGGATGGTTCTAGTTGGGATCTGTGTGGTTCTGAATGGGATCTGTGTGGTTCTGGTTGGGATCTCTGTGGTTCTGGATGGTTCTGGTTGGGATCTGTGTGGTTCTGGATGGTTCTAGTTGGGATCTGTGTGGTTCTGAATGGGATCTGTATGGTTCTGGATGTGATCTCTGTGGTTCTGGATGGTTCTGGTTGGGATCTGTGTGGTTCTGGATGGTTCTAGTTGGGATCTGTGTGGTTCTGAATGGGATCTGTGTGGTTCTGGTTGGGATCTGTGTGGTTCTGGATGGTTCTGGTTGGGATCTGTGTGGTTCTGGATGGTTCTGGTTGTGATCTGTGTGGTTCTGGTTGGGATCTCTGTGTGGTTCTGGATGGTTCTGGTTGGAAACTGTGTGGTTCTGGATGTGATCTGTGTGGTTCTGGATGGTTCTGGTTGGGATCTGTGTGGTTCTGGATGGTTCTAGTTGGGATCTGTGTGGTTCTGAATGGGATCTGTATGGTTCTGGATGTGATCTCTGTGGTTCTGGTTAGGTTCTGGGAGGAAAACCGTGTTGTTTGTGTTCAGGCTGCCTCTGAGGCTTCTGGGTACGGTGTTCGGTTCAACACGGTTTGCCCCGGCTTCGTGCAAACCGACCTGATGACCAACATCCCGGTTCGGCTGGGTCAGTTCTCCCACCTGACCGCTGTCGCACACCAACTGGTTGACGTGATGGGGACGGTAGCGTAAGTACACGCTACTGGAAAATGATTTAATCTGCTTTTTACGCCTTTTGTTGACATTCCTCTGATGAACGCGGTTTAAATGTGTATTTCAGGGTTTCTGACGTTGCCGCCGCCGCCTTGGAGCTGCTGACAGACAGCACAAAGAACGGAGAGGCCCTGCTGGTCTTACAGAGTGGAAACATGTACATGCAGTTCCCTTCATTCAATCCAACACAAAATAAACCCTTATAATAAGAATAATAACCAACAACTGGATTCAGTTCTACAAAAACCCATCAGACCTGCTGTGGTCTTAAATAAAAAAGATAACAGCTCCTCTTTTCGCCACGTTGTTTCTGAAATTTACTTTTTTTCTTGTTTCTAGTCATTTTCTACCACTGAGTTTGAAACCCAAACTAAGAAAATAAAGAAATTAACAGCATAACAGTAAAGCAGAGGTTCCCAAACTGTGGGGCGCGCCCCCCAGGGGGTCGCCGTGCCATTGCAGGGGGGGCACGGGAAGCCGTCTGGATGAAAAACAAAAAAACATGACACTGTATGCGCTGGGTTTTTACCTTAGAATGGCCAACTCTCTGTTATTCCTATGTCAATTTGATACAGTAGAGGCTTCCACACTTCCCATATTTGTGTCCTCTGTCACTTTTATCAGCAGTTAAAACTGTTTAATCCGTTGTTAACATGTTGTATCCTGTTTTTCCGAGCCGCCTTTAAACGCAACATGAGCGCTACGACGCTCGCGCTGGGTTTCCACCTGTGAAGGAGACCTGCTGCTGCTGGGCGGAGCTACGTAGGTTTGTGTTAGAATCACCGCAACAAACCAGCAAAACGCAAAGAACTTTTCACAGTTTTTCACCCAAACTAACCGACTGAGTTGAGTAAAGCTGCTGGATGCAGGTAATGTTAGCTAAAAGATGACTAGCTAATGTTAGCTAAAAGATGACTAGCTAATATCAATACAGCACGTTAAGCTTGTTAACAAGTAGCTTGTAGGCTACTGGTGTTGCTGTCTATGTTCAGCTGCGATTCATTTTGCCCCCCAAAACGTTCGTCTGGAGCCGGGGTGAGTATAACAGGGAGTCTCTAAGAATCCACCCCCCCTTCGCTCACACACATCGTTCAACCAGACAGCTGTTTGTAAGCCACGGGGGGCAGGAGAAAACGCTTGGGAACCACTGCAGTAAAGTATCATTCTATTGACAGACATTTTGGACATTCATAAAATTACTTTCTATAAAAAAAATAAAAATCACTAAGCCAAACAAACTGCACCTTCAAAAGAATTCAGATTATAATCTGAGGAACAGACGTGTAAATGCCATTTTAATCAATGTTTTTATTATTTTCAAATGTAAAAATAAATGAAATACACTAAAATACAACATTTTCATACCTATTAATGTTATTATTTGGTGCTTTGGGCAATAAAAGCCTATGAAGGAGGTCAAATTTAAAAGAAAAGAGCTTTAAAAAGCCATTAGCACATAAAATGTTCCACACAGTTTATATTAGGAACAGCAGCAGAAAGTTCATGTTTTTGGACTAAACCACGTAAGAACACAACAAATGTGAATAATGAGAAATCTGAGCCGAATTTCTTGATCTTCTGAAGACAAAAAGAGCCAGAAGGTTTAAATCTGTTAGTCATTAACTTTAATAACTAACAGCTGCTTTCATGTTTCCACAGCAAACCAAAGGTCAGACATGCAGCTTTCTGTAAACAGAACATTTTCTGTTGTTTTCTCTGTGCTGTCGCTGAGCGTTTTCCTCCCCAGGCCACGCGAGAACGTTACAGCTGCTGCAGAAATGTTTCTTTAATCTGGATGTTACATTAGTCATTTATAAACCAATCGACATACTTTGTATGCATGTCACCAGAACCTGGAGAATAAAGTCAACATTTATATATACATTACATATGGATGGTTTTTCCTCTGACCAGTGGAAATATTCCTCTCCATGACACACGTCAGTCGTTACTGTTTAGTTTGTGAACTAAATCATTCAGATCCAAAAGGTTTATGAACTGTATAACAAACTAATATAACTAATTTCACTCAGAATAAGAATGACATGATTTATGATGTGTTAATAAGTGGATTCAAGCAGTGTTACATTCCCTAACTGACAGTGAAATTATCTTTTTATTTGTGTAAAATGTTATTTTATATTCATAGTTAAAATTATCTCTCTTGTCCTCTGTGATGTTTGGCAACAACTATCATAAACTGTTTGCAACAGCTGACAAGCAGTCTTTTACACATTGTGAAGGAAGACTAGCTCTTTGTTTGGATTTACTGTCAGACTTTGACTAGACCACTCCAAATCATGTAATTTTGGAGTCATGCAGAGCTGGACCAACATGAGTCATGGCGCCGCGGCATACACGCAGAGCTAAAAACTGAATGATTTGTCTCCATCTAGTGGCTGGTTTAGGGTCTGCACCGTTTAAAGGTCGCCGGCTCTAGAAACTTCTCCAATCATCTCCTCTGTCCGGCTCAGACCCTCTGTGTCCACTTTACGGACTTATTGATTACCGAATGTTGAGCATTTTAAATGTGTTTTTATCAAAGATGGTTTCCATGACTACGTCAATTCTTAAAGTTACAGTCGCAAAAACATTAAAGAACCCTCATATGTTTCGGAGGGTATAATGTCTTACATCTTAATTGCATCTTTATAACACATAGTTACTCGATGTGTTGTTATAAAGGAAACTTTTACTTAATTGTTTTGAAGCCCAGTTTTCTAAATGCCTCCAGTCTGTTTATTTGCCGCGCATGCGCTGTTGGAAGCCGATGCTGTGTGTAGAAAAATCATGGCGGAGACGATGCAGACCGACAGTTTTCCTGTCTTACCTTCGGGACTGGCGGAGGGTATGACATCTGGATCTTCCAAACGCATGCATATGCTAGTAGAGAACCGCATCAGCGCACCTAGCAGCCGTCCCAGAGGGTGTAGCGGTTGAAGTACTTTGCGGTTTTTTTCGCGGCTTCCTTGAAGCTAATGCTAAAACGTGCTAAGCTAAGTAGCTCTAACATTTCTGCTCCAAGGTCGACGAGAGCAGGTCTGCATCCGATGTTAATTCGGACTTTTATCTAAAAATACGTTTAGGACAACACCATGGGAGCAACGCCATGTTGTGTTCCGCTAAAGAAGTTGTTTTAATTATTTGGGAAGAGGCGTTTTTATGCAGTTTGTTGTGCGTAGTGATGGGAAAGCCGCTCACTGACTACACAGTTAAACATCGCGATGGAGCGCAGCCTAGCTATCCTGACAGGATGCTCTAAATTTAACCCACATCCATCACGTTATTCACCGATCACAAATAGCTGTGTACAACTGCACATTTAATCTAAATCGTTATATTAATAAATATAATGTAATGACTGAAAATGGGCATATTAGCAACATTTTCAAATAGCAGAGCTTTGTAGAAACTAGCAACATTTACTTGAGTAACTGTTTGTAATAAAATATACTTTTAAGAGTAGATTTACTCCAACATCCTTTTTGCTTTTAGTTGAGTAATGTTGTTATGAAATAGCTTTACTCATATCTGACTAAAATTAATGGAGTCTCTACTCAGCTGGAGTAACTTCACTGAATATATTTTTATTAAAAATGTACTAGGTTTCTGCCAAAGTGAGACCTCTTGTTCATACACCAGCTTTGTTTTAGTAACGTATTTGCTGAGCCATTTGGAGATCAAAATACGATAAAAGCTGCAAATGTTTAAGCTTTCTGTTGAAAAACTGATTTCTAAAAGTTTCTAGTGCCTACATTTATTTTGTAATTGTTTTATATGTGATTTTCAGTTATTTTACTCAGAATTGGCACATAACTTTTCACATACTAAATAATATTTTCTGATCAGTTAATACTTGTGTAGCCTGTCATACCATTTTATTCATGAGTAGTTTCTTGGACGACTGATTTTACTCGAGTAAAAATATGTTTAGGTAGCACTACTCTTGACTACTTTCTTCAAAAAATGTTTTTTTTTTTTTTCAAAAGAAATACTTCTCTTCAACAAACCATATTGGAGGAGTTGTCTTTTCATGTTTTACAATAAATACTAATTTATTGTAAAAATGGTCCATTTTCATCCAGCAGTTTTTAAATGTATAATTTATATTTTCACCATTAAAACTTTAACACAGTAAGTGTGTCTGCCTTGAAACACAAAGATATTTTTCTTACATAAATTATAAAAATAAAAATTGTTAAATTCTGGGATTAAGCTGTAGATTATGTCCACGTTTTGCTGTTAAACGTGATGACGGTATGAACATGGCCAGACACCTGGATATTGCATTGCAGTTTTGTTTCATAATTGCTGATGTAAGTCAGAGTTTGGCCTGAAATACTAGATTTAGTTTTGTTTCAAATACTAGAGACGAATCGGTGAACTGGAAATAAATTTGTGCTTTAGGAATGTGTTTTATTAAATTATGTGACTTAATTAAATGTAATCCATCAGAAACAGGAAGCTTTTGGTCATTTTGGTGTGAATAATGAAGTTATTCAGTAAATGTGTCCAAGCAAACATCAATATTTTGTTTATATTTATTTGTATTGATATTACACATAATAAAAAATGTGTAGTGCTTGACATTTTTGGCATTTTCTCCCACCTCAGAACTTCAAATTAACAATCCATCTTTTCCTTTTACAAAAGAAATCAGAGAAAAACGACCCAAACCTGCATGTCACGATTTAAGCAGAAACGATATTAACGTGCAGCAGGGGGTCTGCAACCCTGAAACGTTCTCGCAGGTCAGCCTGGTGAAAGAGAGAAACAATGTCATGGATGTTTTGGGTTTTTGTTATTTCAACAAAAATAAAATATACTAATAAATGAGCATGAGTCTGCTTTTTGAGTAAAAGTCTCTGGATGTTTCATTTTTATTTACTATTAAAGCCAAAACATAAAAGTTGAATACTATATGTTGCACTTTACATTTTCCATTTTAAGTAGACTTCAGTTTGTTTATGAAAGTTGCCCTCTTTTAAATAAAATAAAATGTTTACCTGAATCAACTGGCATGTGGCCTAAATAACTCCTTGGACCACAGTTGGCCCCCGCGCCACATGTTGAACCACGGAGTCTTTTGTTGACCATCTTGAATCTCCAGATTATTTTAATATTTTCTGTATATTTTTGTAACTGACACCAAGTTGAATCTTGTTTAAATTGTGACTCAGATCAGCCTGAAAACATGTTATTTTTATTTTTTGGCGGCGTTATTCGCGGGTTTCTGCTGATGCGTCATCAGAGGCGTTTGGGAGGTTTGTGTAAATCGAAGAGCCGGTTTGTCCTTGACAAGTGTGGAAACAGCAGCCGTGTTGCCGTGGGTTTTTATTTCCAGATGATTTATCCTCTGTGCTTCTGTCGCTCTCCTCCCTGCAGTAGATAAAATGATCCGGGAGCGAGGCGACCTGTTTTCTGACACCCAGTGTAAAGTCTGCAGCGCCGTCCTGATTTCTCAGTCTCAGAAGTTGACTCATTATCAGGTCAGTGCAGCAGAATCGCTGCTGAAGCTTTAAGCTCATCAACATCCTGTAAAGACGTGAAACACTGCTGAGCCTTAACACGTTCAGTAACTTGTTACAATGAACCAGAACTGGATTATTTTTTATTTCCAGTCAAGAACTGTTTTTCTGCTTCCAGAGTAAGAAACATGCCAACAAGGTTCGGCGTTTCCTTTCCCTGGAAAATGAGAACGGCGATCCGGTCAAGAAGCCCAAAACCTCCGACAACGTGAGTGAAAACCTCGATTAGATGAAAAAAGTGACGCCAACAGGATGAGGAGCAAAATGAAAAACCTCCGTTTTTATGTCAGAGAAGCAGGGCTGAATCGATTAATCGTGCCTAATTGATTATTGAAATAATCACCAATTGATTTAGTAATTGATTGTTAACTGGAGTACATAGGCTAAAGAAAAGGACAATTTGCTGAAAGAACAACATATTCAGATCAGTAATTAAGGTGAAACTGTTTAAAAAAATAAACATTTTGCATTTCAGATAAAAAGATAAATTAATTTTCTATAAATCTGTTCCACCCAAAATTCCTCCAGTGGCAGTTTTAGCTTCATCTGGCATCCAATTATTAATCAGTTAATCAATAATTAATCCATAGATTTAGTTCTAGTCTGTATTGATGTTCAGTTTTTCTCATGTCACTATAGGAATGAAAATAAATTGACCTTTAAACAGTAAAATGTTTATTTTCTTACTTGGAAAGGGTTCAGTTATTTGTTGATATTTTAATGTTTTTCTAAAGTGGAGCGTTGGGCCAGCGTCACGGCGCCGTCGCTCAGCGCCATCTATAAGGGCCGCAGACCAAAACAAACTTTATTCCGGTGTTTTTGTTGCTACCAGTGCAGTGAAGTTGTTTGAAGGTGGATGTTGGCGCTGCGCGGGGAGCGGCGTTTAGCTCCAGGTTGATCCGGCTCATGAACGCCGGTTTGGGCCAGCCGTTCTCCGCCGCTCCCTCCTCAGCGCTCGGAGGCTCACCGTCAGTTCCGAACCAATCGCTCCTGTAAATAAATGTAAATAAAAGCTTCGTGACCATCTGACACAAAAACGTGGCAATTCATGCTGTTACATGAGACACACTATACTCTATTAAAATTCTAAGTCATATTCAATATTTGAAGTCATTTTAATATTAAATATGTTTTCTTCAATAGCTTGTAGGTCATGTGACCCTTTGACTGAAAGTCAGTGAAATTATTCTACTAAACTGGATAGTTGAGGCACACATCCTTATTCCATTTTGGCCCCTTTTTACATTTTTAGCTAATTTTATAGTTCATAAAATGTATGACCTCAGATGATCATCACATTTGTTACCTGTTCAGTTACATAAAATTCAGACAGGATTGATTTCATTACATGTATATTTATTACCTGAATGTCATCCAGTTCATAACATTTACTTGTCACCTTTACTGTTTACTCTGAAATATCAGATTTTTACTTTGAATGATCCATTTCATCTCCTGTTTACATGCAACTTGAAGAGCTTCAATCAAACGTTTCATGAATTTTTACCACATTAAATTATTAAATGAGAGAACAGACACTTCCAACTGTACATATCCCAAAATAACGAGGGGAACAAATACAATTTTCTTTTTTGCTATCTACATTTTACTTAAAACAGTGCTAACTGTACAAATATTTCAGAATAATGAGTGCAGAAAATAATCTGCATTTTAATTAACAGTGCAGTTTCATTTTAACGTTCTCGTGTGAAACATCATTTGCTTGATGCTTTACACTTTTCTCGTGTTGTTAGAACAAATGTTCACTAAGCTGCAGCACACACACACACACACACACACACCCCATGTCACCTTCACATGCAAGCAGGAACCTACTTGGTTCTGTGTAACATTTAGTATTTGTTCCTGGTGGAACCGATCTCTACATGGATCCTGAGGTGAGCTGCAGCTCGTTTTGCTGCAGCATTTTGACCTCAGCACACAGCATTCCTACGCTGTCGTTAATATCAAAGCCTCAGGTAACACAATGTTCCCAGGTAATAAATTGGAGAGAAGGCCACAGTTTTCTGCTATGTGCTTATCTGATGCACGTCCACCTCATTCCTTAGAAATAAAAGGAACCCACCCATGTGGTGTTATACTAATAAGGAAGGATTGTGCACGTGCTTTTAAATTTGAGGCTCTTTCTGAGCCTAATTCAAAACAGTCAACAATAATTGCTACTTGTTTTCCAAATGTTTCCAAAAACTGAGGAGGCTTGTGGCCTCTCGGGCCAGCTTACCATGGGCTTAAGGCAAGCATCCAACACATATAGCAAAGGCTTTCGACAGTTTTATGTGACACATTAAAAAGATGTCGAACAGGTAGACCGAGTCTTAGACACATTAGTGTAAGAAAAAACATTTGAAACTGTGAAAGTTTTTTTTGATGCCGGCAGAAAAGGCCTAACAGTGTTAAATAACAAGCTCCCTGTTCTCCAGTATTAACACTGTAAATTATAACACCAGAAAACTTAAATAGTTTACTTCACAATAATGGAATAACCTCGATGTCCACTCGGACTGCGCTACCTAAACAATATTAGTCCAACCTAAACAAGGTTGACCCACTTAAATGAAGTCAGCATAAACTGAACATGAGAACACCCGGACAAAATCATAGAAAAAATATTATGACACAACACCAACAAAGCAAATTTAAACACTCACCAGAATGGAAATGTCTGGAGCAAACTTGTAGGTATCTGCGGATGTTGGAGAAGGTGATATCAGGACGTCTCACTGCTGATAGCAGGACATTCGTTTTCTTTTCCTTAGCTCTGATAGCTTAGCCTCCTCGCGTTGTTTCCAGGCAGGAAACAGCAAAACAAAAGTCCGTTTTCCATCTTTTTACAGTTTCAGTCGTGTGATCAGACATTACATGAAATAACGCAGCAAGTTCTACCATAGCTAAATTATTTTAAGCAACTTGGATTCAAAAAGTCTGTGAGACTGTTGTTTTTGTCTGTTGTGTTTATGGCCCCTCAAGATGGCGCTCACATCCCTCCAGCCACCGCGCTGCAGAGTGCGTCTGCAGCAGTGATGCCACGCTCCAAAGCTCTAGTGCAGGAGGACCCAAAGTGGGTCCTGGAGGCCCACTTCTCTCCCTGGTGGTAGTAACCACCTTTTCAGCTTGTCATTGTTCTTCTTGGGCCTCTACTGAGCCATCATTTGATCCAGGTGTGTTAAACCAGGGAGAGAAGTAAAACATGCAGGACCCCGGGCCTCCAGGACCGATTTTGGGCTCCCCTGCTCTAGTGCATATAAAAGTTTAATGAAGAATCTGCAGAATGATTAACTAATCGATTAGTTTCATCCATAAATTAAACGTTTTTGGTTGCTGCATCTTTAAATTCAAATGTTTCCTTATTGTTAAATGTTTGATCAACTGTTTGTGCGTCTTTTCTCTGCAGGATTGCAACAACGGAGACACGGACCGGCTGAAGGCGTGCCACCTGTGCAACATGACCTTCACGTCTCCGGTTATGGCCGAGTCTCACTATCAGGGCAAATTTCATGCCAAGAGACTGAAAATGAAAGCTGTTGAATCCCAGACTCCAGGTTGCTGCTTCCATCATATCATCCAAAGAACATTTCCTGTTTTATTTTTACATTTCTTGTGTTTTTTACACACACCTTTTTTTCTGCAGAAGCCTCTCAGACTTCACAGCCAGCGGAGAAACCCGCCAACAATTCAGCCGGCGGTTCTGAAACCGACAACAACAACAACCCAGATCGCTTCTGCTCCACCTGCAAGGCGTCGTTCAACAACCCGCTCATGGCCCAGCAGCACTACGCCGGCAAGAAGCATAAAAAACACATGACCAGGCTAAAGCTGATGGAGACGTACGGCCCCTCCACCGCACCAGGTCAGACTGCTGCCCGCCGCCCGGGTTCTGGTTCCCATCGTTCGTCCTCTGCAGACTCACTGCATTAATATTAGTGGCTTACTGCAAATCTTCTGCCTCATTTACATATTTATGTAATGTTTCAACTAAAAATAGTAAAGGTGTGTTCTTGCTGCAGAGCTCTGTTTAATTCAACCAGCCGTCTCTGCATCAGCTGCTTTAGACAGTAAAGAAGGATTCATATATAAAGATGATTTCCCTCCTTCAGTCCAGTCGACCCGGTTCTACTGGACCCAGAACTCCATCATCTGCTCCTCCTCCAGCTGCTCTGAGTCAAACCAACCTGTTCCCCTCCTGGCCTGTGGGGGCGCTGCACCAAGAACCCCTGAAGGAAATGACACAAGAACCTCTGAAGACACTGAGAGCAACTTCCTTCTTCACCAGATGGAAACAAGATGGAGGATTTTAGCGGTTGGAGGATTTCTCTTTAGGCTGAAGACCAGGAGCCATTTCTGCTGCTAGCACTAGGCTAGCACGTTAGCTTTGGTTGGATTTACCCAGAATGCCCTGCGCTGTGATCCACTTCCTGCTTTTGGAGCGGTCTCTGATCCGCCTGGCGTTCACATTCAAACCGAACCCAGACTGAGGTTTGGAGGACCAGAGGTCAGAGGTCGGTTAGCGTTCACACCTCACCGACCAAACCGTGCTTTGACTAGGCAAACAGACTGACTAAATGTGGTTAAAATGGACAAAGTGGAATCTGGAAAATCTTCTTGACCCTTCCACTTCATTCTCATGTTGCATTAAACATCAGTAAACTCCAGATGAAAAGCTCTGCAGCTGTAAAGTTTGGATAACTGATCAAACCACACCAGATTACCACTGATGAATATTCAGTATCTGTATCTTTTCTGATCATTTTGTCCCTGAAAGTTCAGCTTTTCACTGGGAAAATAACTTCTCTCCTGTCCGCAGCGTCGACACTAAACGGATACCCCTGCACCGTCTGCAGCATCGTGCTCAACTCCGTGGAACAGTACCAGTCTCACATCAGCGGCGCCAGGCATAAGAACCAGTAAGTCACAATTCAACAGGCCAGTAACCAGACCATGGAAACCAGTAACAAAACCATGGAGATATATATTTATGTTTAAGTACTCCATCTGAGCAGCAGGTCGTTTACCTCAGCATGATTTGATTGGCTTGTAATTCTATGAAATTCTATTAAAAAATCTCCCATTTATCACTTTTTACTATCCAATTATTAATCATTTAATACAAAAAACAGATCAGCTTTACACTGCGTTGATAAGTCGATCAGAAACACCTGAATCATATTCAGGGCTCTGAACCTGCAGGGCGAGGTCGCCGTAGCGACGCAGGGTGCGGCTGGGCGAGGTCGCCGTAGCGACGCAGGGTGCGGCAGGGCGAGGAGCCTTTTTGTTTTTACTCCATTCTTTTTATTATGTTTCTCCGCTCAAAGTCAAACTGCAGCCTGTCCCCCAAAAACAATAAAAACTTTTTGTTAATTTTCGATCTGGAATATTAATTTCTACAGAGCCATTAAGATTCATTAGCCAAAGCCAATCTGGGACCAACTCTGAGCCGAATGAAACCCACCACAACCTGCGCTAAGGAATAAACAAAAACAAGTCATCGTGCCAGATTTGAGATTTTTTTCCCAATTCCAACATAATAACTAAGTAAACATCACTACGTACATAGCTGCGAAACTCAATCGGCCATAATTTTGAAACCTTACCATTTTTTCTTTGTACCGCTGTTTGTGTCAACATCCACCTCTAGGTGGCGCTGTAAAAGTGCCAAACTTGTCGAGCAAAAACTGCCCAGTATGTTTTCACCACAGTCTGCAGAAACCTCCAGGCCATGGGTCTTTCCTTACAAACTGAACTGGTTGGTTGAAGTGTATTTACAAAAATGTAAAATATAAAAGTGCTTCATCTGACCAAACTTGAAAAAACGTCTAAAAATCACAGTCATCCAAATGAGCTCAGATTTTCTGGGTGAATTGTTCAAATAATTGTGCGACGGTAGCAACCTGCCGGTGTGGACGAAGAAACCATTAGAACCAGTTCTTGTTATTTTAGCTGCAGATGATCAAAATGTTTAATTTTACTGTGTGAAAAGGAAATGAATTCTGAATTTATGATGTTTTTAAATTTATTTTGAAGAATGAAGAAAGTTGGTCAGAAGTCTGGAGACGACCAACCTTCAGCTGTGGAGTCAAACCAGTACGCTGGAGGGGAAAACCAGTACAGCGGGGGCGACGGCCGGCGCGCGCCCGCAGACGACCAGTACCCCCCCGGAGACGACCATTACGTTGCCCCTGACGACCAGTATGGCTCTGGGATCGACCAGTACGAGGGCGGAGACGGCCAGTTCGGGAACCACCAGTACACGCCAGAGTTCTCTGCGTTTTCAGACCAGTTCCAGTACACTTGAGGCCGGACTGGGATTGAACTCTTCAAACAGCCCCCCCTTTAACAAACCATCACTCCCAGTCCCCCCATTAAACTTTAGCTCCTGTAAACCAGTCTGGACTGTGACCCCCATGTGCCCTCCATCATTTTCTGTTTTGTTTTTCTGACTGATTTCTGCTGGGCCCTGCAGAGAGGCGGCTCCGAGACGCTGCAGTTCTTCTTCCTGTTTCCTCTCAAAGTTCGGACAGTACGATGTTTTAGCTGCAGCGACGGAGGCGTGCGAACAGAAAGAAGCGCCGCGTTTTAAACGGTTGTTCAGAAGTTTTTGAGGCGGGGTTTTGTTGTTTGCTCATCAGCAGTCAGTATCTTCACTTTCAGGCTGATTTGTTGGGAACCGTGAGACCCAGTCTCAGTATTTTTAACATGTTTGCTAATTTTATGGTTTTTGACAAGAAAATCCAATTCAGTTCAAACATCCTGAATTAATCCCAGAGGGAAATTAAAAGTGTTGAGTCGTATCACTCAGTGGCTGTAGATGTTGATGGCTGTGCCTGTAGCAGTCTGTTTAACAGCGGCTCTGTAGAGGCCTCTGACTGAAGACGCTGTCTCAGACAGAGGAGGCTCCAGGTTTTCCATAATTTTTTTTTATTTTATGTGAAACATGAAGTGGTTTCCACTGCTGAGCTGCCGTGGAAACGCAACGCCACGGTAACACAACGCCGCTTCATCCTGTGATTACAGTGGCGATCGCGGCTCAGAGGAACGACCTTCACCAGTTCAAAGATGGACTGTAAAATCTAATTTTAGTTTTTACAGCACTGAGAAAAAAAGGCGTTGGTGAAACGTTCTGCTGCGTCTGAGCAGAAAGTTTAATATTTTCATATTTACTGAAATATCTGATCTCTGAGTGAACCACTGCTGTTCTGACAGCAGCTGAGTTCAGTTAGTATTTTGCTAAAAAATTATTTTACAATTGTTGTGTTTCCATTAAGTAAGAGACACAATTAAAATCACATGAATACGTTTGTTCACATAAGTAATTAAAATATACGCAGCACTATCTTCCCCCAACCACTTTCTGTTTTCCTCTTCGAGGTTTCCAGCAGTAGTAACATCCTGTTGTTGGTCATGTGACTGGTGAGGCAAAAAAAATGTTTCCTTTGCAGTTTTGCAAAATACACTAATTTTGAAAGTGCCAAAAACACACCAGGTCCCCACAATATGTTTTGTCAAAACATTAGGTTTTTTTCTAAATTGGCGTTTTATTAAGTGAATTTATTTTCAAAACCCAAACGGTGAGGGAACAGTTCCCTGTGGAGCTACTGGAGGCGCCCAGCCCTTCAGATCCGGGCCGAGGTTCCCGGAGTCTGGAGGTTCTGCTGAAACGGGTCGGGCTCCATGTGGGTTAAATGTTCTGGTTTGTTCTGGTTGTTGGTTCTGATATCCACCTGTCTGCTTACTCAGGTTGGCCAGCAGGGGGAGTCTCTCCCTCAGGAGTCCAAATTAAACGTGTTGGTGAGCAGAACAAGCCAAAATTCAGGATCCAAAGTCCAAAATTATATTTAATCCAACTGGATTTTATTGGTTCTGAGTTTCTGAAGTTGACTGAAAAACATCTGTAAGAACTAGATGAGAGTTTCCATGCTTGTAAAAACATTTTTGAGATCTTAAGTTTATGGAAGTGAGTGCTGTGTGACATCATAAACAATCGACTGATTAGAGTTAACCCATTTTTTTCTTTGTTTCGTTTTAAACCCTCCATGAATATCTGTTGGTAAAGTTGAAGAGTTTTATCAAATGAATCAGGCAGTTTCTGGTTGGATGGATTAAATCCACCTTAAAATAAAGATTCTGTCCAATCGGTGCAAACCTGCAGCTGCTGACTGCTGATGCTCTCTCAACATAACCTCGCTTCAATCTGAGCTGCGGCTTTGAAACGGACCGCTCTACATCGGCTGGGCTTTCAGAACCTGAGAGCCAGAAAAAGCTTTCCACATGTGAAAGACCCAAACGTTCCTGGTACCAGAAACTGGACTGCAGTGAAACGGATCAGGGGCGACACCAGCAGGCGGTTCAGCAGCAGCCATTAAACCCCTCACAACAGGAAGTGACCAACAGGAAGTGACCAACACTCTTAATATAGGAAAACCGCTAAATTAGTATTCCTGATCCATGGAAAACTTCCCACCATGAAAACGGTTTATTGCAGCTTCAGTGGTGAAACATTACGCAGAATTCACATTTTAATATTTTTATGCTTCTAAGAAGCAAAACAGCTGAGTGATTTCTGGCGATTCGGTGGCGGGTTTTATGTCTAAAACTACTGATGAGTCACGTTCAGCGGGCGCCACGCCGTCACCTAGCAACCCAGCTGATCTCCAGCGGTTGGTCAGCTGGTTTTAGTCTGTACAATGGCTGCTGGAAAAGTCAAGAGTTTAGTTGTTGACTTGCTGCATTCTGGTTAGTTGTGCAGGAGGCTTCACTATTGCTTTTCAAAGATGTATGGTTGTATAGTTTTGCCTCTGTTTGCAGCCATTTTCATATTGAGTTGGGGGCGTGGCCAGCAGCAGCTTGTTTGGATTTAAAGCGACAGAGACCCTAAAACAGCTCAGACTGAAATCTGATTATCTGAGAATAATTTAATGTAAAAAAATGTGATGAACAGGTTTTGTTTAGGCCATCGAGGGATCCTAACCTGTCCTAGGAAGCGTAACGGATCACTGTTAGCTAATATCTACGCAGCTTTAAAGCTACATGTCGGTAATAGCGACCAACAGAGAAACTGTTCCTCTGAATGTATTGAAGGAGATTCTCCAAACCGACTCTCTACTGAATTTCTTTTAGCCGTTTACATCATTTTATTTTGTTTTTGCTGTGTTTTTTTTAATGTTGACCATTTTTTAAAAATAGTGTTGATTATTTTAACTACAGGCTCTGTTACCTTCTGGCTTCTACCTGATGTTTCTGTAAGACGTCCTGAGTTACATTTCCCCCTGAAATGTCTTTAAGCAACAATAAAACCTGAGCTGATCTTAAATCAGATTGTTTTCAGCCGGTTCTGCTTCCTGCAGAGGTTTGTTTGTCACCAGATTGTCTCATTAAAAGTTCATGGCATGAAAATGTCCATTTTCTTCATCTGAGTTATGAAGGATTTCTCAGTTTGTCCCTGAAAAGCTCCTGATCGTCACCAAGCAGACTGATGTCAGAGCAAACGATGTCAAAACAGGAAATATTTTAGTACTGAATGTTTTTGTCTAAAGCTTTTTTTATTGGTGCTGTACAGATCATGTGTGACAGAAATGGCCTTTCTGTTCCCATCCTGTGTTTGTGATTTTAAGAGTTACTTTCAGTTTGTTTATGTATTAAAAAGTTCTGCAAAGCTCGTGCATTTAAGAGTTTTACACAAAGTCTTTTCTTGTAATGTGGACAAAAATAAGTGAATGTGAAAAAATGCAAACTGATTCATGAATGAAAGCAGGTTCAGTCAAAGGTCACAAACAAATCAACTATTACTTCATTTATTTAGAAAAAGCTCATTACATTTTCTTAACATTAACTAAAGCAGATGTTACATCAGCTGAGATTTATCATTTATTTTAAATATTGATAGTTGAACAAACCGAACAGGAAGTTTTTCACTGTGATGACTCCAGATTAAAACAGATATGAATTAAAAATAAAATAACTGTTTCACACCAGATCAGATTTGAACCTGTTTTTGTTCTAACTTTCTTTTCTAAGAAGGAAATGACAAATAACAGAAAATATTTTCAGAATTCATCCTGTCTGTAGGTTTTCAGCATTAATGCCAGGCTGCAGAGATTTTTAATAGTTTAAATTATGAAAATATTTATATTATATTTATTAATAGCAGAATAAAGATGTAATGTTACCAAGAGAACAAATTTATTCTGGTAAAATTAAAACTTTATTCTCATATTATTTTGACTTTGTTATTAGACTAAATTTGAAAAAATAAATCATATTTCATGGTGGAGTCGACCTGAACTCAGAATTAAAATAAACAAGATGGCGGCTCTGGGAGCGATGACGTCACTCAAGGAGTTCAAATATGTTTATCGATCAAATTGATTTATTGATCAGCCCGACCTCAGAATGTTTTCTAAACAAACAGAAACTTTTGATTCTGCAAGAAAGTTCATAACAGCTTTGACCTTTGACCTTAAAGGAGACTGTTGTGAAAAATTATCATTTTTATTCTCCATTTTAGTTTCAGCTGCTTCTAAAAATCACAGTGCACGAAGAAATGTTTTCCCGTGAAATGTCCTGGCCTGAAACCCGTCCAGCTTTCCGAACCGGGCCGAACCGGGCCAAACAAACCGATCCTGCAGCTGTCCGGCTGGATCGATGACCGCGGGAAGCTGCAGCAGCAAGATCCACATTTTTATTAATCTTATTGAAAAGCTGGCTCACTCTGGCCACACGGTGGCGCCCTTGCTCCGGGTAAAAACCTGTAGCAGGTAACTAACTGCTGATTCCTGCAGAAAAAGATTTTAGAAACTTTTAGTTTGTGATGAAAAGCAGCTCTCTGTTGCAGTGAGCTGATTGAAGCTGAGCCTTGCACTGATTCCAACCCGATATTTTCTATTTCAGGAAATAAACTGCAGATCACCCAGAAACTCCTTGTCTTCTTTAAGGCCGGCCCGGTTCAGTGGAGTGAAGCAGAACCCGGTTACAGCTCTGCTACATTATTATTTACCAACTGAAATACTTATGTCATGATTTTATTTAGTTTCTTTGTTGTGGCTGTTTTATTTTTTGTATAATTT